CGATAGATAATAATAGTTTACATTTATCAGCGGTTTTGGTAAATTATCAAACTTAATTTTCTTTAAAAAGTCTAAATTTCCAGAGAATTGACTTATATGCTTCCTTAACATACCCGCGTGTTTTGATTCATCAAAGTAGTTCGTGTATGTCCAGTACATACAAATGAGACGAGAAATTTTAAACATGTGGCCTGAATCAAGACACAAGTTTTATAACCAAACCTTGAAAGATGATAAACAAGTTGAAAATGAAACCTCTAATTCTTCAAGAACTAGTCATTTAATAAACTTAAGAGAAGAAATAAAAAGAGACACGGAGAAGTCGGAATGGGAGCGATATAATGAACACCTCGTCTATAGCTTTGGTGACATTTGCACGACTCCTGTAAAGGCAATCATACATCAAGTGAACTGTTTAGCCTGTCATTAGAACTGTAATGAAAGAAAAGGAAACAGGATTTATCTTTGCTTGGTATTAGCCTCTTTTTTGAGGTGCACATATCTAAGGTGAATTTACTCTAAACATGTCCATGGATGTTAGCCGGATGTTTATCATGGATGAAAATGAGGTAATGAAGGAAACAAACCTGGATATGACGTAGTAAAGATACTCATTTCCGTAAAAGTCTCCAGTATTTTGTCATTTAACTGCTAGCATTCACGGTGACAACATGTTTTCTTCTTGCTTTAAGTTAGCATTAAAAAATGACCGCTTCATTGAGGTATATACTACGAAAAACAACGACAAAAGAGTAGACTTACGCGAATGGAATACGGATCGCTTTGCGACAAAGAAGGGAATTAGTTTAAGGCTGGACCTTTTTAAAACATTGACACTCGCATTTGACATGATTGATACAGCTTTGAACAAAAAAGAGGAATTGAACTATCATATGGGTTCTAACATTTTCTGTACAATTAAAAAAGACAATCCGTGTGTGGACATCAGACAATACTGGCAACCACCGGACAAAGAAATGCTCGTCCCAACGAAAAAAGGACTGTGTCTTCGACCTTTGGAGTACAGAGCGCTGAAAGCCCACATGAATGAAATAGAAAAAGTCATCCCTGAGCTCGAATCACTTGTTCCTTGTTTTTTGCGCGAGGATCATATGAACCAATTAAACATGCTCCAGTGTCCTACTTGTAACCCGCTGCAGTATGTGAACTGGTGAGAAGAGACAGTGCAAGCAAGAAGACACCTTTTAAAGACTTTCATAAATTATTATCATCATGATTGTTTTAGGTATCATTTGTAGTAAAATAAATGTTACATTTTAATTTTGTGTGCGCGCGTGTGTGAAAAGACGTACAAGATACTGAAGGCTACATTCACAAATGACAATGATTTAAACAATGTGGATATTTGCTTGACGTGAGTAAAATATATTGAAATATTATTATGTACACAGATGTAATAAACATGTTCATTTAAACGTTTATGAATCTTCATTTTTATTTAATCATATGATTCAGCTAGGATATAAATGTATATATTCCTCAAAAACTTATGGTCAATTTATTTGCTGGAATGAGGTTGACAAACGTCGTGTACCAAGGAGACATGAATTGTGTTATTAATCTTAAACAACTGGCAACCCCTTAATTAACGTGCGGTACGATCCCCTCAAATTTCCAGGGGTAATTTTTCAACATAGAAAAATAGGAGGGAACTGTTTAATATTTTCCAATGGAAAGATTACTTGCAACGGAGCATGCGATAGTTTTAAAACTGGACATAAACGACTGAGAAGGTATGTTCGCTACGTTCAACGAATTGGATATGACGTCGTACTTACCAACGTACATATTGTCACCACATCCGCGTTTCACAAGCTATCTAATCGTTAGTTCAATTTCTCCCGCCTTAAACTTTTCTTATGACCCTGAATTATTTCCTGCTGTAATGTTGCGACGAAATGAAATTCATTTTACATGTCACTTAAGGGGGAGCGTGTTAATTAATGGCATAAAACGAGTTCAGGACCTAGATGAGATTGTGTACCCAACTATAGTAGAAATACAAACCTCATTATGAGAAGAAAAAAGTACTAGTCAGTTCTAATTATTTTATACCACAATCATGAAGTATGAAGACTACTTAGAATCCATCTATTACGATGCAAAGCACCCTGGGTCTCTAAGTGGATTGGAAAAGCTATATCGAGCTGTTCGAAAGGAGGGCAAGTACGTACTCAGTCGATCTAAAATCAAAAAATGGTTACAAAAGCAAGAAACCTTTACTCTACATAAGCAAATCAATAGAAAATTCAAATGTAGGAAAGTCATTGTTTCGGAAATCGGATACCAGTGGGACGCAGACACAGCCTTCATGACTCCCTATCGAAAAGACGACGGATATGCGTATTTTTTAGTACTTATAGACGTTTTTTCAAAATTTGTTTGGACTGTTCCCTTAAAATCGACAAAGGGTTCTGAGATGTCTAAAGCATTAAAATTCGTGTTTTCACACTCTACACCCCCTGCAAAGATTCGTAGTGACAAAGGAGTTGAATATGTTAGTAAAGAGGTTCAACAATTACTGAAACAAAAAGGTATAATTCACTTTTTTTACTCAAAACGAAATGAAAGCTTACTATGCCGGAAGAGTTATAAAAACATTAAAATCTCGATTGAGTCGATACATGACAAAACACCAGACTCATCAGTGGGTAGACATCTTACCTAAAGTCACCGAAAGTCACCGTTCCATCAAAATGGCTCCGAAACAAGTGAAAAAGAGTGACGAACCCTACATTTGGATGAAGAATTATGATTATGCTTGCAGTGACAGTTCAAATTCAACGCAGTCAAAACTCGTAAGGAACATACAATATAAGTTTAAAATTGGTGACATGGTTCGCATTTCTCGGTTGCGAGGAGCGTTTGATCGGGAATACGATGAAAGATGGAGTGGAGAGCATTTTGTCGTGAAATTTCGCTCTATCAAACAAGGTATACAGATTCACAAACTACAGGATATCGATGGAGAAGACATAAAAGGTAGTTTTTACCAACAAGAGTTGCAGAAAGTAACAATCACAGAAGACGCTTTGTATAGAATCGAAAAGATAATAAAATACCAAGGAAACCAGGCTTTAGTCAAATGGTATGGATGGCCCAAAAAATTCAACAGCTACATCCCTCGATCATCACTGAAATATTATAAGAATTCTTAGATGATTTGATTGAGAATGTTCAAAAATGGAGCAATCTCGCGTGATGCAAATTGCCGACTTTTTAAGAGAACTCGGGTATGCGAATTACAGTCGACAGCGCGTCATAATTCAGAGAGCTAATCAACGACAGATTTCCGCTCTCGGTGATGTCGTTCGCCATCTGCTCGATAGAACAATACCCATACTATCACACGACCGCAGCTTTTTCCGTCGACACATCTTAGTCATGAGGAATTTGTCAAGTTCTAGAGTTTCAGTCTCACGTAAGAAAACGTTACTGTCGCATCATACCCTGATTCCCAGTCTTCTAAGAGACTATTACTTAGCTAGAATACTCATTTTATCCGTCAGGAACAGCGAGTCCTAAGGTTATAAGAAATTGGTATAAGTAAAGGAGAAAGCACGAAAAACAAGCAATGGCCGTATATCTTTTCATAGACAGCAGAGACTCTACCATTTTCCATCCCTCCAACACTCCTGATGACTTTCTTGTTACACTACCCAAAGTTTACTTGATAGACGACTCGTGGGAATGTGCTATTTTAGAATTAAACATTGATATGCATGATGATGTTAGTACAGCTAGACTGTATGTATGTTGTGACATCGTAGGCGATAGTTACGTCAAAAATACGATGTTACCAATTTTGAGAGCCATCACATTAGAGAGAGGAATTAATCAGATGACCTTCACAAATCCCTTTTACATTACAGTTTCTAAACAGGAAATCAGTCAAATAAGGATGTTTATAAGAAACAAAGACTTGAGTGTTCTTCATTCTCAAGTTAATTTTTTCAATTGTACTCTGTGTCTGCGTAAAAAGAAATTATGGGATCAGTAGAAGTATACGACTACAAGAAAATGCAATGGGTACCATACATTCCGAATATCGATAAATGGGTTCGCCATTTTGAAGATATTTCTGCTGGAAGAGTTCGACCGGACTACAAGGGACGTTACATTGTAGGAAGTGGTTCTCATAACGGAGCAAAACCCCCAAGTCAAGAACATAAACCCACCGTGAAGCTTGTTACATCAGTGGCACAGGCCGTCGAAATGGCCAGATCCGAATTAGAGCGCGAACAAGATAACTCTCCGAATGAGGATAAATCTATAAGAAAGAAACGATTCTTAGCCCCGCCTGGCAAACGCGACCATAAACCTAAGTCCAAGAAACCTAAATTCTATACACAATTCGACGATTAGTCATCGATGAAAATCATTTAAATCAACTTTCCCTTTTTGAATCACCTCCTGTCGACACGACCATTCAAACGAGAGAATGGGTGGAATTCAGACCTATCAATCAAATATCAGAGTACTCTGCTTTGGAATTTAACATACCACCACTCTCTACGGGTTACATGGATCTTAAAAATAGTCGGTTAAAAGTCAGATTGAGAATACTGAATCCCTTGAACAATCCCATCACAAAGGAAGATGCTGTGGGTTTGGCGAACCTACCTTTACATACCATATTTGCTCAGGTAGACACCAATCTCCAGCAAACCCCTGTATCTCAGTTCGGCACAAACTATCCTTACAAGGCCTACATCGACACCCTATTGACTACCTCCGCCGATAACTACGGAGTGCGATATTCTCAACTTTTCATTAAGGACTCCAACGATCCCGACGATGCCGATCCTATCAAGGGCATGAATTCAGGGTTGTACCTACGTTATTTATTTACTAAAGAAGGCAAAATACTAGATTTGGAAGGCCCCCTGCAGGTTGACCTCTTCCAACAGGACCGTTTAATGTTAAATGGAGTATAACTCTCGTTAAAATTGTGGCCTAGTAAGGATGCCTTCAAACTGATGTCAGTGTCTGGTTTAGATTACAAAGTTCAGATTGTCGATGCTAGTTTTAAGCTATGTATCCAGAGACCGAATCCTGCTCTGACCATGGCTCATGTCAAAATGCTAGAAAAGTTTCCTGCCATATATCCGTACTTATTTTCTAATCTGAAAATAGCTTCCATCGCTAAAGGAGAATTCGGTTTTACCATGGACGACGTATTTCAGGGAGAAGTTCCCTCCACCCTCATTCTAGGATTGGTATCAAGCAGTGCATTCAGTGGAGATTATAAGAAATCACCTTTTAACTTTCAGTCCTTTGATTGTAATTTTGTGGCCTTCTATGTAGACGGACAGTCGTTTCCAACCAAACCTCTTCAGCCTAACTACCAGTCTCATACTTACTTGGAAGCTTACCAAACCCTGGTTTCGGGTAGAGAAAACGTTTACGTAGAACGTGAAGAATATCCGAAAGGGAATGCATTGTACGTCTTAGACATCAACCCCTACATAGATTTTAACATAAGAAGAAAAGGACATTGTCGCCTAGAACTCAAATTTGCATTTCCATTACCGGAGAGCGCAACATTAATCTTGTACGGAAAATTTCCACAAATTCTTCACATAGACCAATCTCGAAGCATTATTTTCAAATGAATAACTTTGAATTGAAATCTTATTTGTCGAGATATGACGTAAAAGTTACGTGTGCTGATGAATTTCCAACCAACGCCAGGAAACATAGGTTTTGGGTAGTCAATACAGACAGATGCGGAGGAAGAGGAATGCATTGGGTCGCTTTTCACTTTCCTTTAAGAGGCCCAGCAGAATTTTTTGATTCTCTAGGAAACTCTCCGGAATTTTACAACACCAGATTCAGATACATTTTGACAATTAACGGTCCTAAATATCAATACTCCCGTTCTAGAATCCAATCAGAAACGTCTAGTGTGTGGACATTATTGTATTTATTTCATTGTTAAAAGAAATGTGGGATTTTCCACGAAAAACATTATGCATGATTTTAGTGTATCACATCTGCATGAAAACGACCGTTTGGTCTCTAACTATGTAAAACAATTGCATCAATAAAATATTTTAAGAACAATTTTCTTTTTACGTTGAGTTTTTTAATATGAAAATAATATTTAAAATTTTAATGAAAATGAAACATGAATAGAACATATATTGTGTCTTAATTGCTGCTAACAAAAACCTTCAAATTGAGTTCATACTAAGTAACTATTTCGATAAAACACAGACTTGACTAAAAAAAAAAAAAACTAAAAAAAAAACAAAAAAAAAACACCCCCCTAAAACCTACTAGTAATTATCGTCTAATAAAATTCACATACGAAATTGGTTTATTTCTTTAGAATAATCTTTTACATTAGAGAATTACCTGTAAATCCCGTTAAATAGATAACTAAAGAATAAGAAATAATATATAATTCTTTATTAGTATGCAGCATTAATAATCAATAATAGAACAGTGAATATGGTTTAAAATTGAATCCAAGTTTTATTAAGTCTGTATCGAGAATATGGTTTCTTTGCGCTTTTCAGAATCTTTTTTGCAATTTTTAAAGTCTTTTGGAGTCCTGTTTGTATTTTTATTAAAGGCACAGGGGATTTACGCAAAAAATCCTCTTTAGTTTCAGAATCCACCAAATTCTCGGTCTGTGAGCTTTGGTTATTTTTCTCCTGTTGTAACTCATCAGGTTTAGTCATATCTTCAGGTTTGTGTTCAGGTATTTCTGTAGAACTTTGTTTAAAATCTTCCTGATGCGACTCTTGGAGAGACAACAGACGTTGGTATTTGTCGTATGGTACCAAAACAGATTTTTGCATTACGTCCACCATCTTCTTAGGAAAGGTTTTACGATTTTTTTGAAAAATGGGAACGATCCGATGTTTTCTTTTTAATAGAAGTAACTTGCTTTTTCGCGACGCCGTCTTATCCCCCAAAACTAGAAGAAATGATTTGTGCTTTTTATGTATATTTTTCTCACTTTGGTTAAGTACAATGACACTATGTATGACGTTCGCAGCTATTTCTCCCAACACTTGTAATTGTGGTTTCGTCACAGAACTCAGTAACAGCTTTCTTTGTGCGGTGGATGTTTGTAGTAAAAGTTCTAAAAAGGATTTCTGGTCTCTAACTAAGGAACTCATTTTTAAGACAAACTTGAAAGCGCATTCTTATAAACTGGTGTAAACTATGGGTTCTTCATCCGGAAATATGTTGGTTCGGAGTCTATATTTGTCGTTGCCTTTTGGTGACGTATCAACTACGAGGTACCCAAAAGCTCGTTTCTTTGCATCTGTGTAAGCGTCTATTAATAATTTAGAGCGTCCTGGTATAGCTGTCGGCCTAGCATAGATATCTGCGAGGCATTTCTCATGTTTTTCATGAGTACTAAATAATACGTATTTAAGGCTATGGTTCGAGATTTAGAGCCTCTCGGAAAAATATTTTGGGTAATAAAAATGACGCTGAGACGTCGGTGATGACAGCCTTGCGTAAATAAAAGTTCCATGTCTACATCTTGTACCACTCGATGCATTAAATCGTCTAAAACTATTGATGTGTGCTGACGATCGGAAGTCAAATCTTGAATTGTTTCATTAGAAGGTATCCCGTGATGTAATTTCAAGTTAGAAATATGTTGCTCTATTACGTCAAATAAAGGCTGATGAATTCCGTAACAATATAAAATTGTTTTGGGGGGCTCCTTTACATACATGTCATCTAAATGAGTCAGTAACCGATATACAAATCTTGTCTTTCCGCTACCTGTTTGGCCACTAATACACATGCTCGAACAAGGTTGAAAAGGAATACTCATCTTGTTTATTCATCTAATCCTTCTGCAGTAGGGTAGGGTTCTTATATCTTATCAGCCTTTAAAGACGGGTTGGGTAAGACATAACCTATGGCACTACTCAGCAAAGATATCCAGAGTTCAGAGGAGCCGTTTTTTAATGACAGATTAACTATAGAAGTGATTATGATGATATATACCACTGTCATTTGACAGAAATATACTATTTCCGATTTCGGGAGTTTACTCCCTAGAAAGCTCCAAGATTCTGTTGAAGTACTATTGGGTCTTTCCATAATTAAAAACAATACCATTACATTAATTTACTTCTTATAAACTTTTTACTGAATAAGAAAAAAGATTACTTATAAACTACAAAAAACACGACAATACAAAATCTATTTATCAACATTTATTATTTATATGATTAGGTATATGTAAATAACAACTAGGATGTAACAAAATATTTTCTCATAAATCTATATACAATGTATTTGGTCTGTGCCTGACTCACGCATGACCAGAGATGGAGACAGTTTAATAAACAATATTGAGAGTAACTCTTAAATATGTACAAGTAACGCGATATACTTCTAATAATAGAATGATATATCTGTGAGTAATATAAAAAAAAAACAAAACCTGTCAATGAAGTTAAACACAGTCTCAACCATGAAGTCCTCCCCCCTTTCCATTGTCTAAAACTTCACATTTATTCAGTCATATTCGACAGTTAATTGTTTATCGAGTTTTTTTATTCGACATCTTCTAGAAGATGAATAAGATTTAAATCAAATTCATCAATTTCGATTTCATTATTCTTTTTAGTTTTTAAAGGACACAGTTCTATATCTAATGGTTCTGTACTCACACCGTCAGCTAGTACTTTTCTTTTACAATAAAAGTAGGAAAAACCATTCCTCACTTGACGATTAGTGCATATTTGGTTATTGTGAAGTTTAAAACCCATATTTATTCCAAAAGCTTGTTTTTGAGTTTTTAAAACATTTCTAAAAGTGGTCAGGGGTGCTTTTACTCTTTTCTTTGAAACACCTTTGCATGAAAATTTACAATGGGTGATATCTCTTTGTTTAATATTTTTCCGCCTGTTCAGTGATTTACATTTCTTAGCGCGTTTAAGTAAGCGCTCCGCCGTAATCACGGCGCTTGAAAGCGACACTTGCTTTCGAGCTGAAACGATGTAAGTCTTGGAACAAAGACCAATGATCTCGTCCCCCTCATATTCGATTTTAATCACAGACTCAAAGGTAGAACCCGATATTGCCATGTAAGCAGAGTCGGTGTCCATCTCGCAGTATTCAAAGTCTACACGGTTTACAAATTTATCCATGAAGTCATAATAGAATTGCAACATGTGCAGTTTTGCATACTGCAAGATGAAGTAGCCGATCTGAATGGGCAAGTTCAAATTCAATTTTTTTTTTACACCTTTCTATTTCGTACAATTCCTCATCTTCTATCAATGTTGTTAATTTTTTAAACTGGGGCTCATTTATTTCCATCATAGCATTTCCTTCCCCTCGAACATATTTGACGATCTGAAATTTTTCCTGATCCATGATGGTGGATCCAAAGGCACTATTACCTTCTAATTTCCGCGTGTCTGCGATAATAGCTTTAGTAGAATCTATATCACCTTGACGTCGAGCATTACTGACATCGCTTACAAAAGATTGAAAACATCGTTGTGGTGTAAAGTCCACGGTTTGATATATTTTTGTGATTTCCAGACCATGACTTATATACCACTTAAGTAATGGAGTCGCAATTAATAATTGGCGCGCGCGCATTCCCCCGACTAGTAATCGTCTAGGTTTTGTAGACAGGTGAAAGACCTTTGCGTGGTGTTGCATGTGTCTACCTATTGCATCAAACGGAATGTCAGATGTACAAAAAAGAGGACTCATTTCGGAGAAATACTCGTAAGGTGTCATGGTTGAATGATTGAAATGAGCTGGCCACGCGAATGTCGCACTCGACCATTCCGAACAACTTATCACTCATCACGGCAAGTATTACGTCTTCCGAAGACAAAGAACCTTGACTAATATTGGGCTTACGCGAATCTGCAAATTTTTTCAACCGTAAATTAGACCGAATGTTATTCCGGAAAGTACATTCGCGCATCTCTACTACTTTATAACATTTCCTTTGAAGATAAAGCGTTGTTTTGCGAGTTTTCTTTTCGCGGCTATATATCAGCTTGTCATCTTGAACATGACACGTTAAACAACAACGGTGACCGTGCCAGAAACAGCCTTGAAACTGAAACACAGTGTTGGAAGCTTCGTCATAGCCGTCGACCGGGAAACGACCTATTTTCTTTTCCTTTCCGGAATTCAGCTTGTGTGTAATCTTGTACTGACCACTGTGGTTCAGCCACTCTAACCAATCATAAGCTAGAGAGTATCGATCGCGTTTCTGTGGTTTGAACCCGTCATCTACCTTACGGTGCACGAAAGAACCAACGGGCATTTCTTTCCGTATACAGTGTAGATACAGGGCATTAGCATCGAAGCCAATGATCTTACCACAAGGTTTCTGGGAATTTCCTCGAATACAATTTTTTTCCGACCTCGTGATGACGATTAAATATGATACTCGGTCCGCCAATAATGTTTTGCTTAATGGTATCATACAAGTCTTCGTTGGCTTGATCGATCAATGCAAAACTCGCCCCCTCTTTTCTCCCACTGTCAAACAACATTCGACGCGCAAGACCGGGCACTGAAATACTACATTTAAATATATCAATGTTTCGTTCGAAATAGTACTTTTGTAAATTTTCCACGGCCTGTACGAAAGGTTTGA